GGTAGTTGTCCTTCACCTAGTAGTCTAAGATTTTTGTTCCATAGGAGAGGAGGGAGAATGAATCTGGGGTTGGCTTTCTGCCCTCCTTGAAACAACTTCTCATTTAAGCCAGAATCATCACACCGATAATCTTTCTTTTTTTAAATATACAATTTATTGCATTTTAGGTTTTGGGGTACATGTGAAGAACATGTAACATTGTTGCACAGGTACACACATGGCAATGTGGTTTGCTGCCTTCCTCCCCATCACCTATATCTGACATTTCTCCCCATGTTATCCCTCCCCAACCCCCCACCCTTTTCTGTCCCTCCCTTAGTTCCCCTCCACAGACCTCAGTGTGAGATGCCCCCCTTCCTGTGTCCATGTGTTTTCATTGTTCAACACCCACCTATGAGTGAGAAAATGCAGTGTTTGATTTTCTTTTCTTGTGTCAGTTTGCTGAGAATTATGGTTTCCAGGTTCATCCATATTCCAACAAAGGACACGAACTCATCAATTTTTATGGCTGCATAGTATTCCATGGTGTATATTTGCCACATTTTCCTTGTCCAGTCTTACTTTATGTCTATCTCTACTCCCTGAAAAAAGTAGCTGGACACAATGCAGACGAGCATTTGTTAGGTGAACAAAACTCTAAAGGAAAAAAGAACAGTTTTTATTTTGAATAAACTAATTGCTAGGTCACAGGTGAGTAGAAAATATTTAATAAAAGCAATTCAAGTCTCTAACAGCATTCACTAAATTTCTTTAACCTCGATTTTGGTCTCAGGCATATTAACAAAAATTGAGAGAATATATGCAACTAAATGGGTAAAATATTTAAAGTCATTGTTTTCCATTTAATATACATAAGACTGTAAAAACTAAATTTGATATTTAAACAAATCTCACCAAAGTTTCACAAACTTTGGGTTAAATAGATTATTTCTTTCATATTTGAGATAATCTGACATGGCAGACAGTTACTTTGAAATATAGCATAGCATAGAGTTAACCAGTTAGGATAGCATATTGCTTACCAAGCTTATATTTTGATTAATGTGAGAAACACTAAAATAGTGGAAACACTAAAATAGTCAAACGTATGACTTGAACTTTTTTAGTTAATAAAGCAATTTGTTTACACATGTTTACCAGAGACAGGCATTTGGGATTTAAGTCCTGGGAAATATCCACAAGTAGAATCAGTAGTGAGCTTTTAAGAATTCTGTTTAACAGAGTAGCAGCAAATTAAAATATACAAATGATTGTGGCTTCCAGCAAGGAATATTAACACAGATATTGCACTCTGAAAGACATATCCAGTTTGCACAAATAAAACACTTCTAGGTTTTTTAAAAACACTTATTTAAAGGTTTTTGTTTGTTTGTTTGTTTGTTTTTGGTGATAGGGAATCACTTCATCAACCAGCCTACAGTGTAGTGGTGTGATCACAGTTTACTGCAGCCTCGACCTCCGAGGCTCAAGCTATCCTCCTACCTCAGCCTCCCAAATAGTTTGGACTATATTTGCAGACTACCATGCACAGGTAATTTTTAAATTTTTTTTGTAATGACATGATATTATTATTTTGCTTGGCCTGGTCTGGAACTGCTCGGCTCAAGAGACCCTCCTTTCTTGGTTTCCCAAAGTCCCAAGATTACGAGCTTGAGCTATCATGCCCAGCTATTTCAAGATTTTTGATGTAACATGTTTTGATTGCTAGAATTAATAAACTTGAACTATTACTATGAGTGTAAAAACAAAAATAGTTTCATGCTGTGGTTGAGATAGAGCAGCTCCTTTGGAGACCATCTAAACACATGTGGAGACATTACAGTTTCTGGCAGTGTATTGCCACCTACATATAATAATGTATTCGAGGAGTTTAATGTTGGCTAGTGTTGGGATGCTGCTCTTATCATAAGGTAAATTCCATGTATAGAAGCCTTTTTGGGCAGGTCAAAAATATATACGGGAATCTAACAAACTACTGTTTGAGTCATAGTGCTTTTTTATTATAGTTAGACTAATTCATGAACGTCCCAATCATAAAAATTTATATTAATTTCTTACAGTAAGTGTAATTAAACTATTCTGAAGAGTTTACCTTTGTTTTGGACAAGAGAAACAAGTATAATAAATGCATTAAGAAGTAAATATGGTGCTACCTCCATATTTAGTTATGTCTAAATTGTAAATCTATAATGTTGAATTGCCTTTTATTATCACATACTCTTTGAGGAAAATAATCTAGCCCATTTTACCCATCAAGTTTCTGGCAGCCAACCTGACATCATTATTATATCCATTGCTTCTTAAGCTCTTCCATTTATTGCAGTTTACATTTAAAGGGTCTACATCATAATAAGAGATCAATAATAAAATCAGAAATAAAATGAGATCATATGGTTTTTCTTTCATAATATCAAAATATTTCATATAACATGAAATTAGAAAATAAGGATGAGCACATAGAAAAAAATAAGTTCATTAAAAATAGTTTTCCTTTTCATACTGTCACATTTTTCTTTGCCTTTAACTTCTCTTGTGAATGTTTAAATCCCCCTTAAGCTCAGACAGAACAAGAACAATTATGCCAGGAGGTATAAGGTGCTCTCATCAGGCTTACTAGAAAGAAGTAAGACACCCTCACTGCCTGACAGTTATCACTGGATTTACTGTCAGCAGCTGCTCACTGAAATGAAAATGTTTCCTGAATTCATCTCATGCCTACAATCTTCATCTTTACTCCCCAGTTCCTTTCCTGGGGGAACTACAGGGATAAGCATCTCTCCTTTTTATAATGAACACTTTAAAGCTCACAGAGAAGCATGTCTTTTGCCTCCTCCCTAGGGAGTCATCTATCTCCTCTGCAGCACATTTTCACTGTTTTGTTTTAAAGAGCAAGGTTTGGGTGCACTTAACTCAGTCAATTAGTAGGATCAGATGCAATTGTTTCTGTATCCTGCAGTCTGTGCCTTCCCTATAAGATGAGTGGCTTATAAATTCTGCATTCTTGTTTCTTGCTTTTGCTATCTGCCTCCTTAGAGGAAACCATTCTCTGTTCAAAAGCACACTACAGCCATTGTAAAAATCTGGTGAAAATATTTTTATTGGCAATACTTGAACTGTGTTAACTGAAACATGAGAAATTGGGTGAACCATGCACTTTTTAAAACTTTACTGCTGTAGTTTACTTTGTTTGACCTCTCCAAGCCTCTCTTTGAAATATGATCCCCAATGTTAAAGGTGGAGCCTAACGGGAGGTGTTTGGTTCATGGGGGCAGACCTCTCATGAATGGTATTGGTGCCATCTTCAGTGATGAGTAAGTTCTTGTTCTATTAGTTCTGTGAGAGCTGATTGTTAAAAAGAACGTGGCACCTCCCCCATTGTTCTCTTGCTCCCTGTCTCTCCATGTGATCTCTGTATATGCTGGTTCCCCTTCACCTTCTGCCATGAGTGGAGGGAGCCTGAGGCCTTCACTAGAAGCAGATGCTGGTGCCATGCCTCTTGTATGGCCTGCATAACTGTGAGAACAACAAACTTCTTGTTTGTAAATTACTCAGACTCAAGTATTCCTTTGTAGCAACACTAAAAGGATGAAGACAGGAAATTGGTACGGAAGAGTGGGATGTTGCTATAAAAATAGCAGAAGATGTGAATGTGATTTTAGAACTTGGAAAAAGAAAGATCTGGAGGTCTGAAAAAAGACAAGAAGATTAGAGAAATTTTGGAACTTCTTAGAGATTGGTTAAGTGGTAGTGACCAAAATGCTGGTAGAAACATAGACCAAGACCAAGCTGACAGGATCTCACATAGAACTGATTGGAAGCTAGAGAAAAAGTTACCCTTGTTAACCACAGAAAAGAACATGGTTGCACTGTTTTCATGCTCTAGGTCTTTGTGGAAGGCCAAGCTTAAGAGTCATGACCTAAAGTATCTAGTGGAAGAAATTTTTAAGCACAAAATCCTTCAAAATATGTCAGATACAGGATCAAAGGAATGGCCCAAAGTTGTAATTTATAATTAAAAATAAAGCAAAGGATAACAATTTGGGAAATGTGCAGCCTGGGCGTGTGATAGAGAAGGAAAGAGCATTTTTAAGAGGGGAATCCAGTGGTGCTACAGAACAACCACTTGTTAAAAGGATTATCATGACTAAATGGGAGCCAGGTGCTAAAACCCAACGTAATGGGGAAAAAGCTCCAAACACATTGCAGAAATGTTCAGATCTGCTCCTCCCATCACAGGCCCACGTGGGAGGACAAATGGTTTCAAAGTCTGGGACTGGAGCGTCATTGCCCCGTACCACCTTGGGATGCTGCTTCCTAAGTCCCAGCTGCTCTGGCTCCAGCCACTGCTCAGTGCCCCCAGGTACTGCTTGGTCCTCTGCTCTAAAGCATAAGCTGAAAGCCTTGGCAGTGTCCATATGGTGCTACGTCTGCAGTCACTCAGAATGCAAGAGTGGAGGAGGCTTGGCCGCTTCCGCTTAGATTCCAGAGGATATATCCCAAAGCCTGGTTAACCATGCAGGATTCTGCTGCTGGGGCCAAGTCCTTGCAGAGAGAATCTACTAAGTTCATACTGAGTATAAGAGTGCAGTTGCAGCACCCTCAGAGAGTCCCCACTGGGGTCCTGCTTAGTGGAACTATGGGAGCAGGGCTGTGTAGACAACCCAGCAGCATGCACCATCAGCCTGGAAAAGCAGCAGGCATTCAACTCAAGCCCAAGAGAGCACCCATGTGGGCTGTGCCCAACAAAGCCATGGGACAGGACTGTCTGAGGGATTTGGAGTTGACCCCTCACACCAGTGTACCCAGAGTGTGGGATATGAAGTCAAAGGAGATTATTTTGGACCTTTAAGATTTAATGTTTGCCCTGCTAGGTTTCAGACTTGTGTGGAGCCTCTTGCTCCTTTATTTTGGCCTATTTCTCCCGTTCGGGATAGAAATGTTTATTAAATGCTTACACAACCATTGTATCTTGGAAGTAAAAACATTGTTATTGATTTTACAGGGTCACAGCTATAAGGAATTGGCCTTGAGTCTCAGGTGAAACTTTGAATATTGGACATTTGAGTTGATGCTGGAACAAGATAAGAGTTTTGAAGACTATGAGATGGAATAACTACACTGTATATATAAGAAGGGATAAAATTTAGAAGTCCAGGGTTAGAATTGCTATAGTTTGGATTTTCTGACCCCTGCAGACCTTATGTTGAAATTTGATCCCTATGTTTTTAGGTGGGGCCTAAAGGGAAGTGTTTGAGTCATGGAGGCAGATCCTTGATGAAGGGCTTGTTGCCATTCTCACAGTAATGAGCCCTCTTGCTCTATTAATTCCTGTAAGAGCTGGTTGCTATAAAGAGCTTGGCACTCGCCCCCACCTCAGTGCTCTCTTTGCACATGGCTGCTCTTCTTTGCCTTCTGTCATGAGTGAGGACAGCCTGCAGCCTTCACCAGAAGCAGATGCTGGTGCCATGCCTCTTGTACAGCCTGCATAACTATGAGACAAACAGATCTGTTTTCTTTAGCATTTACTCAGACTCCGGTTTTTCTTGATAGCAACACTAAAAGGACTAAGACACTGGCTCTTCAAGGGGGAAAAAGATTATCCTGGCTATCACCAACATTCCAGGATGAAGAAATCTGGTAATATATTCAGGCTACTGGAATGCCCTCCAGTACAGCAGTAAGTCATAGAATCTAGCCATTCTCTCACCTGCAAATCTACTTCCTTGATAAAAATAAATAAAAAATAAATTATATATATATATAT